AATGGCATTTTTGTAAATGGACACTCCTAAGTGGCATTCTTGCAAATGTGCACACAAAAAGTGACATTTTTGTAATTATCCCTTTATGTTTGGGTTAATTATGTTCTATTAGAGTTTAGTTACGAGGGTTTAAAGAGTTTTAAGGGTCAAAACATTTTTTAGGGTTTAGAATTTTAAGATATAGGTTTTATAAATCTATCATTAGTGGCATTTTTGCAAATGGACATCCCTAAATGGCATTCTTGCAAATGTGCACATAAAAAGTGGCATTTTTGTAATTATCCTATATATTAATTGAGGAGACACTAAAAAATATCATAGGTGTCACGCAATGAGTAAATTAAGGAACACATAAACAATAGATTTTTGATTTAGAAATAATGTGTACATAAAAAAAAATTAACATAATTAACTCCACTAATAAATTACAGCAAGTTTCCATATTCAAAATTTCTATTGAACACTCTATCTATTAATATAGACCACCCACCGTCTTTTTTACATGTACATATTTATATTAACATATTCCTAAAGAATATTGATATTCATGCAATATACAATTTATTATAATTAATTACATAAAATATTAAATTTTACTGTCATATATATATTTCAAATAATATATTAAAGAATAAAGATAAATTTCAAAAATGCCACTTTTCAAGTACCACTTTACAAAAATGCCACTTTTTTACAATATTTATAAAAATGTCATTTTTTCAAATTATTTATTCATTATATCATTTATGTTTAGGTTAACTATGTTGTATTATGGTTTAGTTTTGAGGATTTAAAGAGTTTTAGGAGTCAAAATTTTTTTTAGGATTTAGAATTTTAAAATTTAGGTTCTAAAAAATCATAATTAATGACATTTTTGCAAATGGACACCAAAAATGGTATTTTTGCTAATATAGATACAAAAAGTGACATTTTTGTAAATTTTCCAAAAATAAAGAATATTTTATTTCATTACACCATAATGCCCAGCCATATGGCTAGACCTTAATATAATTTATTTTATTTTCAATAACTATATAAATCCACCATATTATAAATTTAAGCTCCACTAAACGTAATATTTTAAATTAGTTTTTTTGTTGATGTTATTTTAAATCCATTTTATAAAAAATTTATTAATGCACATTTATATATAAAAAAATCCTCTATTGTATTTGGCATAATAATTTACAGTATTAATCCTCTGTATATTAATTGAGAAGACGTTTAGTGTCAAAAATCTAAATGTCATTCAATGAGAATTTTAAGGAACATATCATTTAAACTAACGAATAAGAATATTTCAATTAAAATTACATGACATGGTGGAAATCTATACATATTCTTATTAATTTTATAACATAAGCCCATTAA